TATATATACTTTACTCAATTAAGCTAATTTAGGTCTCTAATTGCTAGTTTTTATGATTGTATCTGAAATTGTTAGGCGAAAATAGTCTGCATGCCGAATTTCAGATCTCTAGAGCAATCAGAAGTGGGCTAATTTTCGTTGTCAATGTTAACAACAAACAAACAAACAAACGCGAAGCTAAGCTAAGAAAAACGTGTTAAAATAGATTATATAGCATCAGAGTCTGAATAGATAAAAGTTAATAGATTATAGTTCCGTAATAAGAATAGATAAAAGTTCCATAGAAAGAATAGATTATAGCTCCATAGTAAGAAGTTCTATTGAAGATTCACGACGCCTCATGTGGACTCAGGTTCCAAGTTGTCCAATAATATCAACTTGTATTGAACAGAACGCGTCCCCATATCGACCGTCTACCCACACGTGTTGCTTATCTCTTCTTACAGTACAATATACAATACACTTCTGTATTTTGTGCGATGCTTATTTGTATTGATCTCAAATGTGGTGAACTGCGGTTAACTGTCTGTTGACTGCCTGTTGACTGCCTGTTGACTGCCTGTTGATTGGCATAGTGGATTTAGGGGATGAACATCGTCCACTGGATGAATGTTGGTGGCGTGTTGATGTTGTGTGCGTGTGTGTGCGTGTATGGACACAGTCGCCTGTTGTGGATGTTATCAGGCGGGAGGAAGCCGCCGCCGCCGCCGCTGTCAGTGGACAAAGGCAGCTTCTTGATGAACACGCAACCACGGTGCAGGATAATGCGCGGTGTCGTGTGGTGTAGTGTGGTGTGGTGTGGTGGTGTCGTGTGGTGTGGTGGTGTGATGTGGTACTGTCTTGTGGTACTGTGGCGTGGTCTGCTCCGGTGATCGGATGGTGGTGTGGTGTTGTTATGTAGTGCTGTGGTGTGGTTCTGTTTGGTTTGATGTTGCGGCGCTATATAACGTAGTACTCCCTCGCAATATAGGCAATAATACGACGATGTGGACAACAACATGGCGGCGCCGTGCATAGAAGGCGACCGTGAAGATGTTTTCAACAGGCGGTGATGTCGTCGGGCACTTGAGATGGAGCGTACAAATCCAGGTTAGGTTTGAGCGATGCGGAGGTTGTGGCGAGGTTCTACTGGGGTTCTAATGGCGAGATTCTACTGTAGTTCTATACTGTAGTTCTAATAGGCCCTGTGTGACTCCAAACAGTCCTCCTCTGTTGCCATCGGTAACTAGTTCATTTGTTATGCTGATCTAGTTACCTGGGGGGATCTTCAGGCCTTTAGTGGCCACTGTAACTTGGTTGCAACCACTCTACGACACTAGCACAGGTATAGCTCGCCCTGCAGCGCCCCGCAATAACTGGACTGGCGGACGTTTGGCTTTTACGAGGCAAACTTTCTAGGCCATGAGAGGCGCGAGGCCCGCTGCTGCAAAAACAAGCCAGAATTGGGCGTTAGGAGCGGGTGGGACGGCTGCCGCTCCCTGATTTGATACCGGCCTTAGCTTAGCTGTCAACTTTACAGTCAACTGCTGGCAACTTAACCGTCAACTGCTGGCAACTTAGCCATCATAATACCGCCTACTTAGCTGTCAACTGCTGGCAACTTAGCCATCAACTACCGCCTACTTAACCATCAACAGCTGGCAACTTAGCCATCAAACTACCGCCTACTTAACCATCAACAGCTGGCAACTTAGCCATCAAACTACCGCCTACTTAACCATCAACAGCTGGCAACTTAGCCATCAAACTACCGCCTACTTAACCATCAACAGCTGGCAACTTAGCCATCAAACTACCGCCTACTTAACCATCAACAGCTGGCAACTTAGCCATCAAACTACCGCCTACTTAACCATCAACAGCTGGCAACTTAGCCATCAAACTACCGCCTACTTAACCATCAACAGCTGGCAACTTAGCCATCAAACTANAAGAAGCGCATGCAGAGGCTGCAAAGCGCCTCTGCATGCGCTTTGAGGCACTTGACTCTCGTGCTTTGCCCCTAGTGTGAACGGGCCTTAGACGTCGACCGTTAGGGGGCGAGTCGCTCTAACGCTAGTTGCATTGCGCCATCCCAGTAGGCAATGTCAGGTTCAATCAATGTTGAAACAAAAAAGCTCACGACGTTGAAATCGCATTAAATTCTGACTTTGAAATCGCATATATACTCACGATTTGTAGCCGAATGTATAGCAGCAACCACGTGCCGTGTGTAGAGCAGCAATAGCAAAGACGAAGTTGACCATGGAGAGCTCTTCAGAAAATTAAGACTACTGGCGGCCGGAGAACATTTTTTCATCCACAACTTCACAACTGATAGACTACAAGCTGTCGTTGTCAGAGGCTCAAGATCGAGCGAAACGAGTGTGAAGAGTGGTCCTGTAGTGGAGTACCATAGGGTACGGTACTCGGCCATATCCTCTTCCTCATCCACATGGCCGACATAGATTTAGAAGTAAGCCACGCCTCGACATCGTCATTCGCGGACGACACCACGATACTGA